TTGCCCGCCTGAAACCACTGCACTCCATGACGCGTTTCGAGGTTATTTCCTCTCATCAGATCGTCACGGTTGATGGAGAGAGAAAAATGGCTGGAGTGAGGAAGGGTATGATAAGGCTGAACATGACACAGTTGGAAGATTTGCACGTTCGGCTCACTCTGTTCGTGCACTGCATACTACATCAACGCACATTCTGTGTGTACTGAAACCAGTCGTGCCGATTGTTAACTTCAATCGGGAACATGCTCACAATCACAGTCAGTTCTAGTGTTATCTAGAAAATCTTGTTTCTGGATTGGGTGATTTGCGCAGTTTCGGTAAGGTGCTGTTTCGTTGGTACAAGCACCGAAATCAACTGACTAAAAAGAGGGGGCCGGCCCACTTGTGTCAGATTCTACCTCACTATCAAAGTTATCATTTATGGTGGACATCATATCCCACATGAATAAACTGTGCATGAAACTGCAGGGAGAGAATGACCTGTGATTTCTACAGAGCATTCATTGTTTGAATCGTAACTGGAAGGAGAAAGGTCGGCTCATTTTCATTGTTTTAATGAGTTTGGCATTGTGGTTAACAAATCTATCTCTCTTGGTTTCTCGAGAAAAATATTCGTGACCTGAATGGGCATTGTTTAGAGTGATTTCCGGCTCTTGACAGAAATGAGAGTAGAATTCTTCCCTTCTAGCATTCAATACCTTGTAAGCTTGAGGATGTTCTACTTGAACTACAGTTGGAGCTATTTAATTTGCAAACAAATGACTTGTTGAGGCAGAATCACATGGAAGGGTAAGCTGGTTGACATTACCAAAGCTCGCCTGAGGCTGGATTTCCAGGACTGAGGAAGTGTATCGCTGGTATGGTATCCGTGTTTGGAACAAGTCATTTGTATATAAACAAGCATTCTCAAAAATGATATTTGCGAAGTCGCCTCATTGAATGTGACTAACTGATGAACATTTGAATTCGATTCTCTTGATTGGCTACAGCCATTGTAAACCAAATCTTGATGATTTTTGTAAGTCAGACTATTATTTCACAAATCTCACTAATCATTTTGCTGTTTACTTTTTGCCACCCGGATGTGTGCACCAAACATCTGATGGCTTTTCGTGTACGCCGTTGATTTTGTTTCAAGTTAATACATATGTGGATTTTCCTTGTTTATTTGTATATTGCATATCGCTCACGCATGTTTACATGAAAGCCTGAAATTAGTTTATCCTTTCATTGTTCAGAACTTGCGCTTTAGCTTGCTAGTGTTGCAGTGAAATCTACTCCGGCCCGCCGTGAAAAAATGTTTGCTGACTCCTGGTCTAGGGGAATGGTCGACATACTAACGATGACAGATTTTTGCAAACGTTGGACTGAAATTATTTCTTCCATCCCAGCTGAAATAGCCATGCGAGTTTTTGTCTACCTGGACCGCAGCTCACGGCTGCTCTGTAACCGTAACTGATTGAAACCCTCAGTTTGAATCTGAAAGTGTATTAAGCACTCATGCGTTCGCACTGCCAATTGCCATCTTACCCCCAATAGCACGGTCGAACATCTCCACAAGCATCTCAAAAGGTCACTCAGTACAGTTGATGCACACGAGTCGAAGGAAGCATTACTGATCATACTGCTGGCATCCACTCAGTCATCAAGACAGACCTACAAACTTCTAGCATGAGTTGGTCTATGGACAAACTCGACGACCCGGAGATAACTTTTCCTGAGCTCAATGACCTTGTCGCGAGGACGCTATGTCCGACAACTGGCTGCGATGCTGCATTTGTTTCGACCGTTCGAACCTCGATAGTCCAAGTTTGCGGTTCCCAAGACCTAGATTTTGCTCATAAGTTTTTTTTGAGTTGACGACCTCTAGACGGCTACGATGCCTCTACGAATTGCCACTTAAGCTCCTTTATCTCAAAGATAGAACATTCGCTACGATTACTACGGGAAACGCGAAGCCATTAATATTGATGGACTCAAACCAGTTAATTTCGAAACCAACGATAACATCGAAAACAAGCCTACTACACCAGCTATGCCGGTTCCAACCGAACCGGACAAGATATCATGTGCCGCTACCCAGACTCCGCGACACGACGCAGTGCAGAAATCGGCCGCCTTTTCGCAGCTGAACCGCAAAAGTCGGCTAGGCCCAGTTGAAGAGTTCACCAGTGCGTCTAAGAGACTGATGACCACCACCTTTCTCCACTTTCATTCTCTTTCTGGCCAGTTCAAACTGCATAAATAGATTAAAAGTAATTGCAAAACAAAAAGATATAAAGCGTTCTCCTTTTATCCCGTTATCGTGTTCGGTAGGTACTGTTGTCGTTTTTTCCCATGGTCACTTGCACAAATTTGGCATATTGCTTTTTAGCTATGTTTAATATCCCTATCCCTCAACTTCTGAAACGCTACCGGGCATTGCGTTATCAATGATCGTGTTACTGAGTACTAGGTCCTTCTGCCTTTGTTGGCAATCTTGAGGATAGCACGGTCGGAGCTCCCTAGGGTATAATCTCATGGGTACTTCTCCAGAAGCTGCAACACGTTTCAGCACCTGGTCTCGCAGAAGGCTGACAGCGCACGTTCCTCAAGTAGACCAAATAGACATACAGTTTTCTTTTAGAAAGCCGCTATTTCGTGACCAGTAAATTTCATTGTACGGTTGTGTACGGTGCGTAAAATATTAACAAATCATAGTCTTATTTTGCACGCATTATAATTAGGCAGTTTGTTTTTCGCTTGTTTACTACTTTTGTTTACATACACACACATCTGAACGTGATCCGAACATTGTTCCCGACGCTCCTATAACATTCTTATCTATGTCTAGATGGATTTTCCTGAGCGCCCATCAGCCTAGTAAGAGTGTACATCTAGTCAATAAACGTAAATTTTGTCGGCTTTGAGTTCCATTTTTACTTTTCCCAAACAGTTGGTTACTTCTGCGAGTAAAGCGTCCGACAGTCGATCACGCCATAAATAGCATGCATGACTTCATGATTGACGGTTGTTGCTTTGACCAAACTTCCAATGAGTTTCGTGAGTTATAGATATCTCTGTCCTCTTCAAACCACGATTTTCTATCACTAAATCTTACTGACTATGCACCCATGGGCCATGACAACCACTTGTTCAACCAGTATACATTTTGCTAATGTTACTCAAAGCGAAATATATGGTGAATTTCTGTGTTCTTGTCATGCCTAGCTTCTTAGATAAAGTTTATGCTCCTTCATGAAGGGCTCTAGTGACGGATTCCCTTCGTCACAGGGCTACACGATGAAAAGATGAGCTCCATCTGATTTTTGCGAACTGTGGTAGCTCATGTAATGGTGCAAAGTGAGCATACCGAAATGACGATTCTCGTGTGTTGCAACTAATGACCTTTTGTTTATCAGGTTAACTAGCTGGTTTCGTTAAATAAATATAGTACCATTTGGGGAGTCCGAACTGGTTCGCATTTGTTTAATAGCAGTATTTTTGTTTGTATTACCATGGAGATGCCTCAGAAAGAGCGTAAATAGAAGCACATGCTTGTTCCCATCGTTTCAGACAGAAAACCATAGCAATGCAAATTCCGCTATATTGAGGGTCTGGAGAGTGTTTGAAGAAAACTGTGGCTATTTTTAATGACAAAAAAGCGTATGGGTGGTTTTGCCACAATGCTTTTATGTGCTCGATTTCATGTTAATTTCACTCAGGGTTGATTTTCCGTAACGCGCAACGCGTAACGCAACTCCAAGAAAGGTTGTTAAAGTCTGCTCAGGAATCAGCATTTAATCGATTCAGCTCTGGTTCCTCAAACGGAGACGAAACTGTATATACTTATCTAAATTTGTCGAATGATGCCTCCGAGGACGAACATAAAGCATGAATACTAGATGTGCTAACGCGATAGCAAGCGTACAAATTCCGGATAGTTCTAACAATGGCTACGATGTTATTATCATTGGCGTCTTCATAGCCTTATGTGCACTCAGTACAAGGATTGATTATTAAATAAATGAATAAGTGTTTCATTCTCGTCAATATTAGGCACTCCTGAAATGTCATGCACCTGGTACTACAAACACGTTGCTGGAAACTGGAAAAATCTTACAAGTTAACTAGTGACATACTGGATTTATGTGTGTTTGTGTATTTGTGGGTGCGTCAGTAGCCTAGTTGAGTTGCCTTGTTATTGTGACACTACACGACTACACTACTACAATACTACTACCGCTACTGCTACTACTACTACTACTGCTACTACTGCTACTACTACTAATACTACTAATATTACTAACACTACGATAGGCTCGCCAACGTAAAGCAAGATCGAGGGAACGCTTCGAAGTGGATGAGGTTCGTGCAGTGAGTAAGATCCATCCACTACTTCACACGGCACAGAACCGTATGCGTGACAATGACAGCCAAAACGTACAGAAACCCGGTGAGTAGGAAAGAAAATCCGAAAACGGGGAACCTCCAGCTTGCAAGACCTGGGTAATTTAAAAGTACCGAGCACTACTACCAACTTGTCAAAAGAATGCCATCATACATTGATCTCCTTGGCGGTTTGACAAGCATTGTTAACGCCCTCGCTCACATAGCACGACTGGAATAGGAAACGCACATCTACCCCCTCTGTCAATACCACCTACTTATATGTTACAGTAAAAGACACGCGAATGGTCTCCCTCTAACACCTTTTCTCTCCTAGATGTGTAAATCGAAAATGACCTAAGGGATCCAAATGGACACTTTATCACTTGGAAGACGCGATACGTGATGTCATGAGCCAACAGTAGCAACGAATTTTCAATATCCGTATAAATATAAGTTCCCAATTATATATATATATATATATATATATTTATAATATACAATCTTTGATACAGATATTGTGCCATCGGAATCATGATTGAATAGGAAGACTGTATGAATAAAAAGAAAAAAGCAACAACAACAAAAGTCTCATTTTGTCTAGTTTACCACTCACAGTTTTTGAACTTTTTCAGTTTGTTTTTTATGGGGAGGAAGAAGGGACACCGCAACACACCGATGCACACGTCCGCCATTGACATCGATCTTGAGCCATGGCTTCCAAGGTCTTCAACCAGCAAGTATCCGCATCTCTCGGACCCCAACCAGGTAGTCGACAACAACCGGCCGAGGCCAACTGTTTCGTCAGCTTTTTCATGCGGCTTCTCCATGTTGTAGGCTGTCCACCAGACCGTCTCTTCCAGCCCTGTCCAGCAACCGCAAACAACGCACGACGCGGGTAACGCTGGACAGGCATGCGCAATACGTGTCCCAACCACCGCAGTTGATGCAGTGAGACGAGCTCCTCGAGCGAGTGGCTTCCACGTCCCAAGACACGCTGTCTAACTTCCACATTGCTTACGTGGTGCTGCCACCACACACGGGCAATGGACCGCAGACAGCGGTGCTCGAAGACGGATAGCCTGCGCAAGTCATCTTTACGAATGGGCCAGGTCTCGCATCCGTACAACAGTACAGCACGAACAGTTGCACAATAGACCCGCCCTTTGATGGAGAGACGAATGTCGTGGCGACGCCACAAGTGCCTCAGCCTAGAAAAAGCGAGGCGTGCTCTCGAGATGCGCATCGAAATCTCGTCTCCAACAGCCCCGCCAGCAGTGATGCAACTTCCCAAGTAGACAAAGCTCTCCACAACCTCTAGTGTCTCACCACCAAGAGTGAGTGCAGGCAGAGGCACCTGCCAGTCTTGAAGAGAGCCTTGCATTTGGATGGCGAAAAGTACATACCATACTTTGATGCTTCAATCGCCAAGCGGTTTAGTGCAAGTTGGACGACGTGTGGATCGTCACCCAGCAAGACGATATCATCAGCATAATCCAAATCAACAACTCGACTACCTGGGAGGAGCTCAACGCCAGCGTTCAACGAATCGCCCAGAGCGTTCTTCAGGACATCCTCAATGGCAAAGTTGAATAGGAACGGAGAGATAGGGCATCCTTGTCGAACTCCACTGGAGACCACAAAGGTAGGCGAAAGCTTGCCATAAGCCCTAACCCTGCCCGAGGTCAGACTATAGAGAGCGCGCAGTATGGAGACGAACTTCTCGGGACACCATTCCTCAGTAGGCAGTGCCACAGTACCGTACGATCGACAGAATCGAAGGCTGCACGGATATCCAGGAACACAGCAATCGTTGGCCTCTGATACACATGGTGGAGCTCGAGGATCTGGCGGAGTGTGAAGATTTGATCGATGCAGCCGCGACCAGGGCGAAACCCAGCTTGTTCTTCTCGTTGCAACGATTCGCGCGTTGGGGATAGCCTGCGAAGTATGATGGACACCAGCAGCTTGCAAACGACGGGGACTAAGCTTATGCCTCTGTAGTTGGAGCAGATTGTGCGCAGGCCCTTTTTGAAGATGGGGACGACTATCGATTCACCCCAAGATGATGGAACTTTCTCTTTCGACCAAACTTTCGAGAACAAAGCGGTGAGTTCTCGAACCAGCGAAGCGCCACCATCTTTAAATAGAGCTGGAGGAAGACCATCAGGGCCGGGGGCTTTATAACGCTTCATGTGCCGGAGCTCCTGCTCGAGTTCCTGGTAAGAGGGAGGATCTGTGGGGTAGACCACTCGGCCCCAGCGCGAGCGCCAGAGGTAGCAGATGGAGCTGGGGGCCAACAAAACTGCGAGCCAAAATGTTCGGCCCATCGCTCCAACCGTCGTTGAAGATTGGTGATTAAGGTGCCATCCTCTTCGCATATTGTTTCACTTATACCAGATCGAACACCTTCGGTGACTCGAATGAGATGGAAAAGTTTTCTGGTATTACCAGAGAGACTAGCAAGCTCCATCTCCCTAGCACGTTCACACCACCAAGCTTCGCGGTCCATTTGCAGACTCCTGCGCAACTCTCGACCAAGGGATTGGCGTTCTTCACTGTGTCTGGAATCCGACGGGATCAAGCGGCGTTTGTCCATCAGCGACAAGGAGACGGCGGAAATCCAATGCTTCGGTGGGTGACGGGCAACTCCACAAGTGTCGATACTGGCGGAAACTAAGGCATCTTTGATATGCGCCCACTGCGAATCGAGATCACCGTCAATAGTTGAGGCAAGCAAGGTTGACAGTGAGGCTTGGTACCTGGTTAAAATCGCAGGGTTTTGTAGATTTGCGACGTCCGGTCGGTAGAGAGCGCGCTTAGGTGATCCTCCGAAACGCATGCAAATCTTAGCACGAACCAATGCGTGATCGGAGTCTAGATAAGTTGACCAGTACGATCGGCAGTCCGTTACGCTTCCGCGCCATCTGTAGCTGATTGCTATGTGGTCAAGCTGGGAGCACTCTTGCGTTTGTGAGGGCGGGCGCCAGGTAGCAGTGTGTCTCCTCGAGTGCCGAAAACTAGTGCTCGAAAGATACAAGCGATGATCAGAGCAAAGAGCAAGCAGTCTGTCTCCATTGTCTGATCGACTGCCACCGAGACCAAAACTACCCCCAAGGTGGTGCTCGCTTGGTGGAAGGCGGCCAACCCGTGCGTTAAAGTCCCCGGCAAGAATGACTATATCAGTCCTTTTGGAGGAACGCAGAAGTTCATGTAGCTGCTGGTAAAAGCTATCTTTAACTGCATCCGGGCTGCAGTCTGTAGGGGCGTAGGCGGAGACGACAAACAAGGCACGCTTAACGTCTCGACGCCTGCTTACGTTACATGAACCTCGTAGTCTGACTGCACATAGCCGACTGTTGACTGGGATCCAGTCAAGCAGAGCTGATTCAGCCCTGGCACTCAGTGCAACCCCAACACCAGCTTGGCCAGTGGCGGCAGCTTCTGGGTCTCCGGAAAGCCGCAAGTGGTATTTGGCGTCAGGGTTTACCGGTGAAGCCATTCTGATGACGGCGCTAGAGTCTTGTAATCTGGTCTCTGAAAGGCAACAGATGTCTACCGAAAGCGTTTCAAGAGTACGGGCCAGACATGCTTGTCGTCCGATCTGCATCAAAGTTCGAACATTAAACGCTGCGAGGATGAATGGAGAACCAGGTCGAAGAAGAGCTGGAGCTTCGGTGGAGTGAGAGGCGGTTGCGATCGCAGGACATTGAAAACCGGGAGTTTGGCTGTTGCTTCCATCAGTTGCGAGACGCGGGTCGTTTGTGACGGTGACCGTAGAAGACATAAGAGAACACATAGGTGAAGGAGGGGAGGTGGGGTGATCTGTGAGTGGAGGTTGAGCGGTTGAGTTAGCATAGAAGTTAGGCATAGCAGAAGCAGTAGTAAGCAGTGTGGTCCATGATTCCTCAGTGGGCGTGATACTACCCGGTTGCCCAGGCCGAAGTAGAGGGTTGTCTTAGGGGGCCCTACCCCGAGCCTTTGATCAAAGATCTAACCTAAAAGGCAGCAGGGCGATGTGAGGGCGTCGCAACCCGTTGGGAGCCAGTGACCAAATAGATGGTTCATACGCCTTTCGGTCCGTGAAGGAGCAGGGGTCCAACACACCCTTGAAGTACAATGCCTCTCAGGGAAGGGCAAGGTGCAGTGAGTTTATTTAGTGGCGAGTCATCCGCCACGTTGCAGTGTTGTTAAACAGACATTTGTGGCTTTTTATAGGGAGTTGACTTGCCAGGCGAGAACTCACCACGTCCTGGAACACTGCCGCCGAACCATTTGCTGGAACGGGAAAAACCCGAATCACCCAGCTGGCACCTAGAGGAGGTTGTTCGGCAAGTCAGCCTAAGTTACCAAGGAAGTTATACTTACTCACCAGCATTGCGGTAGTGGTTTATAACGGTAGAAAATCACTTGGCTACTCCCATTGGGTGTTCAGGGTGAAATCCACAAATGAAGGAATAGTATTAATGAAATGAGCCTTATGCTGCTGCACTCAATAAGGTTTTACGTTAACTCACATTAACATCGCCCTAAGGTTAAAAAGAGATCTAATCAATGCGCGGTTCGTTTTCCTTTTGCGTCGAGGTTCTATGGACCATAGTTGTATCAGGTAGTGTAAATAACTTAGTGCACTGTCGAGTCGTCCCTCGAATAGTAATAAGGTGGGAGCAAGAGTAAGGTACGGTGGGAGGATGTTCCACGACCGACACATTCGGAAAGAGCAAACATTTCACTGGCATTCCGGACGGCTGCAATACTTAGCTAAAACTGCTGCTCCCTCAGGAAGGTGTTATAGCTAAATCTCAAGGGGTGGTGGCAAGAGTGATTAGAATTTTCAAAATATGGTACACCATTATATGAGCGAACGTAGATACGGGAAACGCCAGCTGCACCCACGTGGGGTTTACAGCCTGTGCTTAGAGATGGCAGAAACACTCTTGACAATCTTCGCTACTGTATTATGTAAGCTCCAGCGCGTCGAAATCGTACTTCTGCCAGTACTGCCAGGTTTAGATGACATTTTCCACTTGCAGCTTCATCCCATGAGGTCAGAGTACTGAGCAACTGCCTTTGAGGTTTTATCAGCATGCTTAAATGGTCAACGCTTTCTTTACCAACGCACCGAGATCGCCCTCATGGGAAGAGCCAAACATAATTTGTGGCCTTAACACGTAGCCATGAGCGCTTTGGTGACGTATGCTTAAAACTTTGCAGTTGAACGCGTTGTACTGCATACTGCCCTCGGTATACCCCCTGTTAATTCCATGGATGTCAAGTAGTGTTAGTGTGTGATATTCCACATGACTGACGGTATGACATAATAATAATAATAGCAATAATAATAATAGGTATGCTTCTCATCGAGTGAGCAACTGGGACCATATTTAGCACAGATCATATGTTACAGTACATGTCATGCTCATGAATGAATGACAAACGGTTGTGTGAGTTACATTGCTTTTACTGTTTTAGGGCTTTAGATTAACTCAAAGGTGTGTTTTAATGCAATGAGCACTAGTCGGAATAGTGGATGGTAACAACACTAGGGGTGTGTCAAGCAGAGTGACAAATTGTTTTGTTGCACTCATCAGATGTCGTCTGGTCTTTTTTGGTACAAATCATCAAGTGCCCTCTCCTAAGAGAACGGGGTCATAATCTTGTTCAAGTCTAGGTAATTGGTGAGCTGAACGCGAAAGGCCGTTGCGTTCTTACACGATCTGACTGTGACTGGGAGCTCATTCTACAGGGCAACATACTTGATAAGGCAAAAGTTAGAATGCAGCTTTACCCTGCACTCGGATACACATAGGGTAAACGTCTTATTGCGTAGCTGCCTTGTCGAACTATGTTATAGTTCCAGGGAGGGCCAATAGCAGTGGGTGTTTTGATGAATCATGTTGTACAGAAGCATCAGGTTATGTCTCAATCATAGTAGCCAAAGCGGATCCAGCTGGAATTGCTGGCGCAGTACCATAGTAACGCACGTTTATCTGCGCTCCTCGCGTTGCTTGTATTTGCACTATATAGAACCTTGTTACATTATATATATATGTATATATATATATATATATATATATATATATATCGTTCAGCGTGGAAGCAAACGGCAGAGATCACGTGGCACAAATCGAAATCGCCACCTTCAAAAGTCACCTGCCAGTGCATGACGGACTGACAATTCACTAAGCAGCAATACACACTGCCTATTACTGCACTTAAGATGCCAACTCGCATGGTGTCGAAACGTATGCGATTTCTTAATCAAGCTCGGAAAAACAATCAACAGGTGAGCAACCAAGCCGGGCTACCAGGGTTCCAAATTATTTCAAACACAAGCACAATGTATTTGGGAATCAAGCGCACACAAGGCGGTGGCTGGACCGTAGTCCGCTCCACATTGACTGCATTGAACCACTATTTGATCCTAACACGGCCACAAGGACCGTGCACCCTGTCCTCTCCAGCAACGACCAACTGTCTCCTGGAGCCTGTATGGACGAGGTAGTGGGTAATAGACAGGTAGGCACCTTGTCAACATGCACATCAAGCGCATCCACACCGGGAATATCAAACAACAGCCAAACACTTGAAAGAGAGAAAGAAAAGGAGAAAAACTCGAATAATGCATAAGGAAACGGTGATATAAACCTTAATTAAATAGCATATGTAATAAGTTGATTACAAACAAATCCTAGCTAAGTGCACGAGGTGAGAAAGTATAGTTCACGGAATGCCACGAACGCAAAAATGTTATGGAAATCGAATACAATTGGCTGAAGCGATGTGTGCAAGTTAATGGAATAGAGTACAGGGAGATATTTATGTGAGAAAGAAAAGCATTAAGGCAAAAACTGTAAACCCACCACCTGAAATAAAGAGACTTAGCATGCAAGCACGCGGTTAGTAAACCGAAATCAGCGTGCCTACAAACGCTGCGCCGGCTCGCCGTAATTCTCTGTAGGACCCGTCGTCGCTTCTGTAGTGGCCCCTAATGACATAGCTCATGGCCCACTAGACATTTATATGAGAAAGAAAGGCATTCGGAGAGAACCGAAAACCCACCACCTTAAATAAAGAGACTTAGCATGCAAGCATGCGGTTAGTAAATCGAATTCAGCGTGCCTACAAACGCTGCGCCGGTGCTGCCTACGTTCACTGCGGGACCCGTCGGCGCTTCGGCAGTGGTCCCAAGTGACCTCTCTCATGGCTCACTAGGCCTGCCTGACTAAGGCACTCGCGACCGCATGTTCTACAGCACCATGCGCTCGATGTCGATGGAGTACAATTCATCGGTGCTTGCCGCTTCCGCAACTGCCGCTTCTTCTCTGCATGCATGAGGGCTTTCTCCCGCCCTTCAGCAACTGCCTTCGTGAGGAGATCGCGCCATGCACGCCGATCAACTGCCTTCGATTCCCATGATCTGCAATCAAGATTAGAACGTGTGAGGCTCACTTTGATCATGTCCTGGTAACGTAATTTTGGTTTCCCCACGTGCCGCTTCCCAATACTCAGCTGACCGTATAAGAGTTGTTTCGGTATCCGCGTCGAATCCATACGGCTCACATGACCGAGCCATCTCAGGTGTCTCAGTAAAAGCATGCAGTCCACTGCATATATTCCACTTTGTCGCAACACTTCCGTGTCTGCGACTCTGGCGCCCCAACCGATCCGCAAAATTCGTCGCACACACTGCTGATGGAACCGCTCGAGATATCGCACATCCCGACGGTACATCGTCCACGTTTCACTGCCGTATAGAAGAACGGACAGTACCATGGATTTGTACACAATCAGCTTCGTGCCAATGGTAAGCTGATGGTTGTTCCACACTCGGTACTCAAGCTCCCGAATGCCGCTGCCGCCTTCGACACGCGAATACGCAGCTCAACGTGTAGCTGCTGATCAGTCGATATCACACTCCCAAGGCAGCAAAAGCGGGAGGTGGTTTCCAATACTTCAGCACCAATGCCGATTTGCGGCAATATTGAAGATTGCACATCCGGTGAAGGCTGAAAGAGACAGACAGTTTTGCTCGTGTTGATGGTGAGCCCGAATTTGGCCGCTGTCGAAGCCAGAGCATTATTCATGTGTTGCAACTCATCCGTGCTGTGTGCAAACGAAGCACAGTCATCAGCTACCAGCAGCATACGGATAGTTGTCGCACGGACTAGAGTTCTTGCACCGACACGACGGATGTTCAAAAACCCACCATCAATACGGTGCTCCACACGAACACCGTAAGCACAAGCCGCATCAAAAGCACAAGACAACATTGCATGAAGACAGATATTAAACAGGGCAGGAGCTAAGACACAGCCTTGCTTCACACCGGAGACAACTGCAAAGTCATCCGAGGTCTCTCCACTCAGCTGCACCCTCGCTCGCATACCACTGTGCAGACATCCAATTAAACTTACAAGCTTACGCGGGCAACCAAACTTACGCAGCCACAATGCCTCGCGGTTCACCGTATCAAATGCTTTGGTGAAATCAACAAAAAGCGAGTACAATGGCTGGTGTCGTTCTCTGCACTTCTCCCG